GGCTGGGGTGGAGTCAAGCTAAACGTAGGTCTTTTAGGGCTTTTAGGGCTTTTAGGGTTGAGGGCTTTTAGGGTTTTGGGTTTAGGGTTTAGGGTTTGAGGGTCTAGGGTTTAGGAGGAGGTGGGTCATGATAGGGTCCTCAACACCAAACCCTCATATAAAGCCTAGATCCCAAACTGTAACAACACAGCAACAAAAATCCTGAACAAAAACGGAGCCCTTCCGAAATGCCCCGGTAACTGGCACTTGCCCTAAACCCTAAACCCCTGGGACCCTAAGCCCTGCCAGTTGGGCACTTGAGGGAGCACTGAACCCCAAAGGATCCATTTAAGTACCTGCATGGTGGAAAAGGGTTTCTTGTGGTTTGGTTAAGCATCCCCACATAGGTGCCCAGGAGCCCTTTGGGTTCAGATCCCAATAACCATAACCCCACCCCAAACCAACGTGGCCTTCGCACCATGTGTTTCGCAACAGCGGGTCGATTCCGCTCCGCTCCGTAATGCCTCGCATAGATGCTGCTGCAAGCTTCTGTACGGGCACGTAGCCCCTGAATCCTTAACAACGACGAATAAACACTCTACACTCTACACCGGAACTCTCAAACATCGAAACTCAAGGTCAAATCTATCAGTGGTGCATGGAAGGAAGTTTTGGCTGTTCTTACTTGGATCACTCCCAAGATCTAAAGCCAAGGAGCTCTTGAACACTAAACTCCTACTCCAAGCTCCTACTCCAAGACATTCAAGGCTGAATTTCGGATTCTTTTGGCACGGAAAGCTCTAAACTCAAAGCCCTAAACTCAAAACTCTTGGCCCTTAACCCTAACCTCAAGGCCCTATACAAAAAACCTTGTGGTGCTGGTTCACGAACTTTTCAAGGAATCCCTATGCGGGAACCCGATAGAAAACTCAATCCTTAGGTTTAGTTGAGAAACCATCTTCAAAGAAGCCCCTTGATCGTCTGTGGCTTGGCTGCAAGACGAAGGGCTGAGTTTTCGAGACTGAACAAGTGCTCGTCATGTTTGAGGTTGGAAACCTCTTGTTCGCGGCTGCTGCAGCGATTGAGTGGCACATGTCTGATGCTTTGGTCTGAGAGCATCGTGCTGAATTGGTCTACGAGCTGGTGGCTCGGCTCGTATTGGCCTGAAATCCTGAAGGCTCCGAGCTTGGACTGTAACGCCTGCAAGCGGCCGCTTCGCTCCTGGGCTGGCAGGCGTCTGGACGGCTCCGAGGACGGAGCGTCAAGGCTGTTGCGTAGCTCGGCGACTACGAAAGTGCCGGCTTCTAAAAGCAAGCGATTGACTGCAGATGCGACTTGCGAGAAGTTTCTGCAGCTTGTCTGGATCGACTGAGGAAGCCCGAATGGTCTAGGGTTTAGGATGTAGGGTTTAGGGTGTAGGGTGCAGGGTTTAGGGTCAGAGGACCCTGATCAGGGGTCACACCCAGAAAGAAAACCATCCGTGACGTGAGCCAGCCCTGAGACCCCGAAAGCCGGCAAGTACTAAACCGCACAGTTTCGGGTTTAGTTTTCTTAGGGCTTCTGGAACCCTAAACCATACCCATGGGCTCCATAGTAGCTCCTTTTTGTGGTTCATATTTGGGATCCTATAAGGTACTCCCAAAAGGAACTACTATGGAGCCCATGGGTAAGCCCTTACTAAACCCTAAACCCTAAGCCCTAAACCCGTAGCCCTAAACCCTAAACCCTAGACCCTAAGCCCTAAACCCTAAACCCTAAGCCCTAAACCCAAGCCCTAAACCCTACACCCTAAACCCTGCTAAACTTCAGACTCTAAACCCTAAACCCTAAACCCCAAAAGTCAGGCATCTAAACCGGAAGGTTTCGGGCCCGGAGTTGAGCATCTAAGCCGGAGGGTTTAGGATCTCAGGGTTAGAGAGGTTTCAGGGTTCAGGCTTTAGGGGGGTTTAGGGTTTAGGGTTTAGGGTTTCAGGGTTTGGCGTTTTGGGTTTAATGTAAGGGCCTTGAGAATTAGAATAGGGGTTTTGGGGTTCCTTTAAAGGCTTCTTTCTAGCGTTCTACAACGGCTACTATATGGGTTTAGGGTTTAGGGGCCTTAAAAATTAGAATATGTTTTGTTTTTGTTGGGGGGGTATATTATAATACTATAATTATAGTATGGAACCCCCAAAATAGTATAGGTAATTAATTTGGGCCCCTATATTGGAGCTTAACCTCTGAGCCGGACCTCAACCCTGAACCCTGAACGTAAACCCTGAACCCGTGGGGTTCTTCTGTTCAGGCTTGGCGTTTAGGGTTTAGGGGTTAATAGAGTTGAGGGATTAGGGTTTAGGGGGTTAGGGTTTTGGGTTTCACAGTTTAGGGCTGGAAGAGGGTTTGCGCTTGCAAGCTACGATTAGGTATGTATATATACATATATAGAGGGGAATCAAACTATATTATTATTCGACCTCTATATTCACCTCTTACCAAAAAAATGATGGTGCCCATTCCGCCCGACAAAGAAAGGGCCTGTGGGCCTTGCCGAAAGCCAAGCCTTACCACTTGCGGAAAGCCAAACCTTACCAAAAACCGCTAAACCCTAAACCCTAAACCGCTAAACCCTAAACCTCCAAACCCCTACACAAACCCCAAACCCTAAACCCCTAACCTTACCACAATCATCACCTGCCTGCACAGCCTTGTTCCTTCACGTTCCGGATGAAGTCTGGCAGCCAAGAGAGACCTTTCACAGCTGCTGTCTGAGGAACTCCTGCACCCTAAACCCTAAACCCTAGATCCTAAACCCAAAACCCAAGAAAGTTTAAGGTTTAGGGTTTAGGGTTTAGGGTACCCTAAACTCTAAACTCTAGATCCTAAACCCTATAGTCCCTACGCCGTAGATCCTAAACCCTAAACCCCAAAAACTCTCTTTCACCGCTTTAGGTTTTGGGGAAGGTCGCAGGTCCAGGACGAGGGTGGTCAGATTCTTGGAACACAAAAGCTTGAGGTTTTAGTATGTGTTAATTAGGGTTTAGGGTTGAGGGCTCACCCTAAACCCTACACCCTAAGCCCTAAACCCTAAACCCTCAACCCTACACCCTAAGCCCAGAAACCCTAAACCCTACGCCCTAAGACCAGAAACCTTAAAGCAAACACCTTCGTGGTTCGGTGGCTTTGGGCTCGCGATCTCAGCTTCGGGATATGCAGGGCTGCCCTAAACAAACACACACACACACATAGATAGATAGATAGATAGATAGATAGATAGATAGATAGATAGATAAATAGGTAGATAGATAGATAGATAGATAGATATTCCTTTCAGGGACAGGTGCCCAAAAAACAAGCATGAACGTATGGTACTCCAAAGCCCAGTTATCCGCAAACTCAAACCCTAAACCCGCTTCCTGATGTGCGACCCAGCTGCTGGCTTGTGACAGGAGGTCCGTCCTGGGTTGGCTTTGGCTTTTTGTGAGCTTCTTGGGGTCAGGGTTTCTTCGTATTTCTTTGGGTTTCTACAAGGATAAGGTTGCTGAAGCTTTCTTTAGGGCTCCTTCTAATGTTTGTTAATAGTTGTTTACGGTTTCCTTTTTTCGGGCGAGTTAGAGTTTAAGGTAAAGCCTGTAGACTTTTTAGGGCGTGTAGGGTTTGGGTTAAGGTTTAGCTTTTGGGGCAGACACCCAATCTAAGCCTAAAAGTCCAAAACCCCTGTGACAGCCGCTGAAGCCTTTTTGAACCGTGTAAGTCTCTGCAAGTCCTGCATCCTAACGATTCCGGTGGCCCAGGGCTTTGTGGGATTCTCGCTAACTGCAACCCACAACCATTACTTGTAATGCAAGTACAGCTACAGCTGTCGGCAGATTACCCTAGGAATAGTATATCATAGCATATTCATAACCATAGCCTCGCTACCAAGTCGCCTGATCCTTTTGGTACGGCTTGGGGCTTGGGAGCTTTACTACATCGCAGGATGGGCACACTGCGAACAGAATGCCCCAAACACTCTGAGGGTTTAGGGTGTTTAGGAAGTTTAGGGTTTAAGGTTTAGGGTTTAAGGTTTAGGGTTTAAGGAAACCCTAAATTCAAGACCATGCAAGGAATCTCGGCATCGAAAATTGGAGGCTAGACCCTCACCCATTCAACCCCAAAACCCCAAGCACTCAAAACAAACAAACCATGGAACTTTAGCTGTTCTTACTTGTCAGACCCTACGCCGACTAAGTACAAAGAAACTTAGAGACTCAAAAACCCCTCATATGAACCTCCGGCCCAAAAAACCCTTCTCTTTTAAGGAATCACATGTACAGAACAATGATAAGGAACCCGAAAAAGCTAGGCTTCTTGGGCCACAGGCAAGGCTTAGGTTTTAGTGTCTTCGGCTTCGGATTGTTGGGCTTTGGGTTCTTTTCTAAACCCTAAACCCTAAACCCCTAAACCCCTAAACCCCTAAACCCCTAAACCCTAAACCCTAAACCCCTAAACCCTAAACCCTAAACTTCCTAAACCCTGTCTTCGGCTTCGGATTGTTGGGCTTTGGGTTCTTTTCTAGGGTTCAGAGCTTCGGGGTTGGAGTCTCCATTTAGGTTTAGGGTTTAGGGTTTAGGGTTTAGGGTTTAGGGTTTAGGGTTTAGGGCGCTTTGCCGCTGAAGCAGTAGGATTTTTAGAGATTTCAGGGGTTTACGGCTTTGGGCTTCTAGGGTTTTAGGTTGGAATGTTTTGGAGTTTGCTGCTTTAGCGCTATTCGCGTTTAAGGTTTTCGGATTCCGGATTTTTTTAAGGTTTCAGGGTTGAGGTTTTGGGAGATGTGCTTGCTCATACAGGAAGCACTATGACAGTCTGTTGAGGCGGGTAAGAGCTTAGCAAGCACGGGGTTTTCGTGATTAACGCAAACGTTAAACAGTGCGAAGCAGCTGTGTGGCTTCAGAGCAGCTACACCCGAATGGTAGGATCCTTTTGCCTCCGTGTGCCCATTGGCCTCCATTGATTCCGTCTTGGTTTGCTCAAAATGCCTCACTGGTTGTGACTTGTGACTTTTCTGCTCAGCGAGATCGTCTGACCCAGCGCAGGCTTGTAGGCAATATGATTTCTGCCCAGCTGAGGACTGTATCCTGCAAGCTCTTGCCTGCGCCAGCATCAGTCAGCAATCGTTCAACCTCGTTGTGCCCACGACGGGCTGCCCACATGACAGCTGTCCGGCCCTTTGTATCCCTCAGGTGAAGGTTGGCGCCAGCATTGACCAGAGATCTTGCAATCTGAATGCGACCTAGACTGGCTGCCCACATGAGCGCTGTCCTGTCAGTAGCCTCGTCATCATAGTCGTCGAACACATCTTTGTCAACACCGGCGTCAATGAGCAACCGGACAATCTCGTCGAATCCACGGTAAGCAGCCATAATCAGAGCTGTCTTGCCCGAGTATTCTCGCAAGCTCGTGTCAGCACCAGCCTCCACCAGCAAACGCGCGATCCCAGTGCGGCCACCTTTGGCTGCATGCAGGAGAGCTGTCATGCTACAGCAATCCTGCAAGTCCTTGTCGGTGCCCGCGTCAAGCAGTAAATGCTTGACAGCCTCCGTGTGACCGTAAATGACAGCCCACATGAGAGCCGTTCTTTCACGAATATCCTGACTGTTCTTGTTAGCTCCGGCACCAACCAGCAAGCGCACAACGCCAGCATGCCCATGGTAAGCTGCGAGAATCAAGGCTGTTCTGCCCTCTGAGTTGATCATTTCCTTCTCAGCGCCAGCATCGATCAGCAAGCTTGCAACCTCAGTGTGACCTTTCGAAGCTGCCAACATGAGAGCCATGCAGGACGGCCAAGTGCCAGCATCCAGCAGAAGGCGCACTGTCTCCGTGGAGCCGCGACTGGCGGCATATTGCAGTGCCGCGCCGCAGAAGCGACGGAGCTTTCCAGCCCTCACTTGCAGCATACCACGTAGGACTTCAATATCAGAGCCAGCTACCTCCGCAGGCTCTGCTTCGACTTTTCGCAGTTGCGCCTTGTCCGACTTCCTAGAAACAGCTACTAGCACCAGCTGCAGCTCAGCGGGTGCTTCAACTCGGTCATCATCTTTTAAGCAGCTGCCATCACACACCAGCTGCTGCAAGCACACTGGGAAGCCGTGCATCTTGCGCAAACGGCGTTTCAAGTCCAGCACCTCACCGACATCTTCTGACACGGAAGCCACTTCCTCGCCCGAAGCTCTCCGCACGCGCAGCATGGAAGTGGGTGGTTCTCCAAGTCCCAATATAGTACGGCACCCTTGTCAAAAGGACCCCAAAAGGGACCCTGATTTAGAGAACAACCCAAGTGACGGAGGAGCTGTCAAGAGTCCGGCGTTATGTGCCCGGGGGATCAGATGGGATCCGGGTCTCAAGGCAACTCAAAGAGCATGAACAAATCGATCTCACTTAAGATCTGTATGGGGACATCACGTATTATTATATTATGTTATGCTATATTACAGTATAGATTTGAGTTTGGGGTACGGGGTTTATGATACAGGCTTAGGGTTTAGTGCCTAGTCATCAACTACGGTTGATCAGTAGGAGCTGCTAAGGATGGCACGGATTGGTTCTAAGTGAAGGATCAGGGGAGGTGTCCTAAGCGGGCACCCTTCCCAAAAAAAACATACTGACACCCTGCTTAAGGCTGAATAAGAACCCTAAACCCTAAACCCTTAAACCCTGAACCCTAAACGTCAAGGTAAGATTTCTGAGAAGTCTGAGAAACCTCGAAAAGTTAGATGAAGTGTCGGCGGGCTTAAGGTGTAGCGTCTCAGCATGCTTCTACGTGACTACCTGCGCCCTTAACCTGTGTGTAAGGGGTTTAGGGTTTAGGGTTTACCCTAAAAATCCATGCACCCGAATAGTATATACTTTGGCCCCAAAGTACCTTAAAAAAGGGACTACTTTAAGGCCAAAGTATATACTATTTGGGGACATGGACCCTCAGAGTTTAGGGTAAATCACTCGTACTTGGGATCCACGCACACCTTCCGAGCCTGATCCGGCTCCGGGGCTGGGAGATCGAGCAGATTTTCGGTGTGAAAGGCTTTCGAGGTTGAGGTGTTAGGGTTTAGGGCTGTTGGGTTTAGGGTTTAGGGCTTAGGGTTTAGGAGGTTCGGGCTTGCAGGTGCAAGGTTGAGGGTTTAGGAGTTGGTACTTAAGCCTGCCTTAAACCCCTAAACCCCTAAACCCTAAACCCTCGTAGGCAAGATCCACATAGACCCAGTAATGGAGACGTGAAATATTCCACAGGCCTGTTGAGGGTTTAGGGCTTAGGGTTTTGAATCTCAGATTCAGGCTTGAAGCCCGAGCCCAAAACCCCCAAACCCGCTAAACCTCAAAACTGCTTGATCCCCTACAGATTATGTAGACCCCTTGAAGCAACCCATAGAAAAACCGTTGCGGGAACTCTTGAAGGAACTGTTAGAGGAACCCTAAACCCCAAAGCGCTAAACCCTAAACCCACCCTAAAACCCTACTCCTCAAAGCCCTAGGCCCTAAAACCTAAAGCTAAACCCTAAACCTAAAAACCCTTGGTCCGGGGTAGCAGCAATAAGTAGCATCCATCATGACCCCCGAAAACCCCAGCCGTAGGATGTGGGGTTAAGGGTTCCGGGTCTAGAATTAGGGTTTACATAAATAATGTTTAGGTTTTAGTGTAGGGTTTGAAGTTTAGGGCTAAGGGTTTAGATGTTGCGAAATCTCGACTGTGCTTGGAGGATCAGCCGACTTACTAACTTCGTCACCATTTTGACATAAATGTCCCGCGTCGAGCTATGCAGTTCAAGGTCCAACTGCTAATCAATCGGCTTACCACCCCTGCTTATGACCTACTCATGACGAGGCTGACACCCACCTAAGGCTTATAATCCTGAAGCCCTGTGTGTATACTAGAAATCGTAAAATGAAGAGAGCTGGGTTTGTTCATCAGAAGGCCACATATTGCCTTGCACCATTTGAGAATGCAGGAGGAGTGGGCTTATCATGATGTTAGCTGAAGGGCATCAAAATGCACTTATACCCTAGCTTTGAACTTGGCAGGTGTGCTTGTGTAAACTGAACTTGTTTGTATAGGTGGCAACGAGTAGATGACATAAACCCCTAAACCCTAAACCCCGAAACCCTAAACCCCTAAACCCCTAAAACCGCCAACTCTGGCTTTCTGATTTCAGGATTCAACACAATCGCTGGGGCTTCCAGTTTGGGGCTTGGGTCAGTTCGGTAGGTTTAGTTTGGTCCATGGAATGCAGGATCAAGGAAGAAAGAGTGTGTCAAGATAGATAGACCCTAAACCCCAAAACCCTAAACCCTAAACCCTGGGTTTAGCAGACTTGACGGGTTATACGGTTTAGGTATAGAAGAGTCTCGGGCTTCAGGCCAGCGTCTGGGCGAGTTGGCTTGCTTCACCGACCAGGACGAAGTCACGGAGTAGCCACGGGTTTAGGGTTTAAGGTTTAGGGTGTAGGGGTTGAGAGTCTAGAGGTTTAGGGTTGAGGGTTTAGGGTTTAGGGTGGTAGAAGCCCAAAAATTGGAAAGCCAATGGCCTCAATCTCTGAGAGCGGTGTACCGAGAATCCCAGCACTAATTGTCCTCGATTCGATTTCCAACTCTTTGCGGTTGACTTTTAGGTTCTGGGGATCATGAGCGTCAGGACCCGGATTCTGGGTTGCAGCCTTCTAAGAGGATCTTGGGACATAGTAATGGGGGCTATAAATACAGTTACTAGAGCTGAGATATAACCTAAGTTAAAGCGCTTATAACGTTACTTCCTAAATCCTCCACGTGGTTTCTACTATCACCTGACCCATAAAGAGGATTAAGGTAGGAGGGAGGGTTCAAGGTCAAGTGCCTCGGGTGGTCGCTGCAGTGCCGCCAGAGCGCTGCAGTTTCAGATTGATGTACGGGACATAGTTGTCCCAGAAGAAGTCCTGAGAAGACGCGCCCGAGCTTAGGGCTTAGGCCTTAGGGTCAGGACAGTTGTCATTATTAGTGTTATTGTTATTGGTATTGTCATATTTTCAAAGCAACTTATGTTGACTTCAATTGTATGAACCCCCTCAGTTGTGAAACCCGACCCCCGGATACCAATTATAAACTCCCCCTCAATTATAAAACGTTACGCCCCAAACCTATTTTTTGAGAGTTTCCTAATGTCGAGCATGGTGGGAATCCGCTCCAGTAATGCAGCAGGAGAGAGAGAGAGAGAGAGAGAAACTACAATTACTACGACCGCTCCACTATTGCAGAAAGAGACCGAAGCTGCAATTACTAACGACCGCTCCAGTATTGCAGAGAGACAAAAATTGCAATTACTACGACCGCTCAAGTATTGCAGGGAGAGAAAAGAGAGAGAAAAAAAAAAACATGAAACTACTGCGACCCTTCCAGCATGACAGGCCCATCATTGGGAAAGCTTTGGATTGAAAAGGACAGCAAGCCTTACAAGCCGAACCCTTGATGGGGAAAGCTTTCGATTCAACAGGACAGCAAGCTTTAGAAGCCAAGCCCTTGATGTGGAAAGCTTTCGATTCAAAAGGAAAGCAAGAAGCCAAGCCCTTCATTGGGAAAGCTTTGGATTCGAGAGGACAGGAGGCCTTGGAAACCAAGCAAGTACTACTGTACTGCTACTGTACTACTACTGTACTACTACTGTACTACTACTATACTACTACTGTACTGCACTGCTATTGTACTACTACTGTACGACTATTGTACGACTGCTGTACTACTGTTATACTACTGTACTACTGTTGTACTACTACTGCACCACTACTGCACTACTACTCTACTGCTGTAATACTACTGTACTCCGATTGTACTGCTACTGTACTATTGTACTACTGTACTACAGTACTACTACTGTACTATTGCAGTACTGTACCAATTGCAGTACTGTACCACGTACCATTGTACTGTTGTACTACTGTACCATTGTACCACCGTACTGTTGTACCACTGAGCTACTGTACTATTGTAATACTGTACTACTGTAATTTGACGACCGACCCCCCTCATCCCAGCCTGGGCCTAAAATCAATCTACGGGAGGGGGGTTTAGTAATATGAAGTGAACATGATGAATGTGCCAATAATTCTGCGTTCGGGTTTGGGGGTGTCAGGAACCCCCAAAATAATATAGGTACTTCTTGAGTCCCCTATTGTAAAGGATAGGGACTTAGTAACTAGAGCTTTAATTAAATAAGGTATCTACACTTGTCATTACATCTAACACCATTTGCGGTGCATTTTAAGGTACTTGTCATACTAGGAATAGAACTGGGAGTCAACGGCACAAGTCCAAGCCGTGATGCTTCCATTGCATATACAAAAAATGCAGTCGTTGTCACCTTGCTTACGTCGGCCCCAGATCCTTCGAGCACAACCCCCCAAAAGAAGAGATCATTGAAGCCGAAACGCTTTGCGGTTTAGGGATTTAGGGCTTAGAGGCTTAGAACGTCTAGGAACTAACGAAACCTACCTTTTTTTGGTAGAGTCCTTACAAAATCACATGTTTGGGTTTGTAATCAGAATCTACAAAAGCTAGCTAATTCTAGTTCAAGGTAAACCTGGAATGCGACGATTCGACTAACAATCAGGGTCCTACATAGAGTCTAACCAAGTCGGAGTACCCCCCCGCTAGGTTCGTGTCAGCTCTTGTTTGGTACAGCTGCTGCGGTTACTTTGGATACAGGATATCACATTCCACACACCCTAAAAAATGGCCCTAAACCCCAAAAAAAACATACTAAGCCCTGAAAAACCCCAAAACCCATACAATCTTAAAGCGCCAACAGAAACTAAAACCCCCTAACACACCATAAAGAACCCTGAACCCCTACACTCCCCTAAACCCTAAACCCTAAACCCTACACCCTGAGCCCCTAAACCCTAAACCCCTAAACCCTAAACCCCTAAACCCTAAACCCCTAAACCCTAAACCCCAAAACCCTACACTCTGCGGATGCAAGCGGCCCAGTCTGTCTTCATCTCGGAAAGCTCCCGGTCCTTGGTTTTGGCGAGGGCTAACTGTGACCCTAAACCCGAGTTTAGGGTTTAGGGTTTAGGGGTTTAGGGTTTAGGGTTTAGGGGTTTCGGGGTTAGGGTATAGGGGTTTAGGGGTTAGGGTAGGAGTTTAGGGGTTTAGGGGTTTAGGGGTTTAGGGTTTAAGGGTTAGGGGTTTAGGGTTTAGGGTTTAGGGCTTTAGGGTTGATGAT